TGCCACTCTCAGTTTCGAAGCCGTGGTCTTGGTTAAAGTCATAGTTTCCGCCCCATAGGTCATGACCGGTAATACGCATTGGTCAAACACTTTTCTTTTGAGGCTGATTGGTATGTTGGCCCTAAGTGTGTCTCGCAGTTTTCCAAAGGCTGCCCATGTTAAAGTAATTCGTCTTTGGATCTCACATGTTTGGTTATCCCTGCTGATTCTTATTTCATGACCCAAATACGTATATTTCTCCACCAGTTCTACCACTTTGTCTTGAATAGTCAAATGGTTATTGGGGACCAAATTTGTCATAAACTTAGTTTTGGTCAAGTTCATTCTCAGGCCTACCTTCGAACATGCAAAATCCAATTCGTTTATCATATCTGTAGCTTCTCCTAAATTATCTGTGATAAGGACAATGTCATCTGCGAAACGGAGATGGTTAAGCTTTTCGCCGTCTATCGTTACTCCTCTGTGGTCCCAATTAATCATGTTAAAGGCATATTCTAATGCCGTTATGAATAATTTCGGCGACAATGTATCTCCTTGCCTTATTCCACGATTTATTTGTATTGGTCGGGTTTTATTGTCTATTTTATCAGCCACAGTGGAATTTTTGTAAATATTATAAATAAGCTCACTATACCTATGGTCAATCCTGCTGTCATTCATGGCTTCTATAAGGCTGTCTAATTCGATCGTGTCGAACGCTTTATGAAAATCTATGAAAGTGAGAACAAGAGGTTTGTTATATTCTATAGATTTTTCAATGAGTGTTTTTACTGTGTGGAGGTGATCCTTGGTACCATAATTTGAGCGGAATCCTGCCTGCTCTCTCGGTTGGTAGAAATCTAATTTTTTCTCCAATCTTGATGTCACTACCCTAGTGAAGAGCTTGTATATGTGGTTCAACAGGCTAATAGGTCTATAATTTTCTAGGTCCGTTCTATCTCCTTTTTTATGCAAAAGGATGGTTGTAGCATTGTTCCACTCTTTGGGCACCTCTCTTTGCTGCAAACATAGATTGAATAGTTTCCTTGAAAATGCTGATACTATGCGTGAAATAATATCACAAGAACGTCACGTTGTTAAAAGTGATACCGAAGCACGCTTGGGCATAATTTTATTCGCGTAAACTTAGCAATGTATGCAAATTTGCTGACAAAGAGATTGACACTCCGAACTCGAACGGAACCACATCACTCTTGATAATGGCTCCAAAATTGGTGCCGAAACGTTGAGTTTTAAATTCTCAACGCGCTTCATCCCGGGAACTTAGTCATTTTCATTTACCTGACCGGACGTTCGGAAATTTATCCGAACATTTCATTCGTCTCTACAGGGAGAAATTTTTCATTTTTCCTAAATCGTTTTCTAATCTTCTTACACGCAAATACCGTTCTATGTGACCTTTCTTTCCTTAAATCGTGTCGTGACCATTCCAAAATCTCTTCAAATTAATTATCACACTAAATGTTCATCCATTCTCGAAATTCTTGGAGCAACTGGTTTTCGCTTCTTCGAAATTCAATTCATTCCATCGGGCGCAACTTGGACACAACAAATTACCAACTTTTCAAAACCTACAATGACATCCAATCTCACACTATCATCCATTATTATGGGACACTTTCGATCGTCTTTCTCACCAAAACGCCCATATGCTGTCCTATGTATGTTGCCCCTGAACATACATAGAACAGACAAACCGATGAATCCACAACCATATTTATGAATATTCTATATATGTAAATCATTCTGATACTTCTTCAGCCCTAGCCCAACATCATATTCAGAGAAGTCACAAAATAGAGGTGAAGAAAACTGTGAACAAAAGAAAAAATGAATCATGGGACAAAAAATGTGAAGAAATAAACAGATATATGAGTGAGACTCGAGCATCGTATGGATGGTTATAGGAAACCTCAGAAAAGATCACAAAGGAACAGTGAGATTAAACCCATAAAGTATGTCAGAGTGGGAAGAAAACCACAAATCCCTATTGAAGGAAGTAAGACCACATTGCGAAATAACTTACTGAGACATCAGAACAGGTCCAATAGATGAGGACAAATTACAACCAATCAGGGTGGATGAAATAAGAAGAACCTTAAATGAAATAAAAGAAGGAAAAGCCACAGGACCAGGAAATATCCCCATTGATTTAATATAACTCGGACTGTTAATACTAATACAATTTTTGGCGGAGATCTTTAATAAATATCTGATCAAACAAGAAGATATTTCAAAATATTGGAGCTTAGTGTATATAAGCTCTATATGACTGATAAAAGAACAAATCAACAACCAATATGAAGAAATAGAAGTAATGCATACATCAATGTTATAGTGAACATGTAGATAAATGCAAAAAGTGCCATTAAACAGGAGAATTCCAACATGGACATTGTAAAGAAGCTATATAGTGGAGAAAACTTGCAAATTGGCAAAATAATATGGTGTTAGACTGTTACTATACATGATTAAAAAAAAACAGAATAGTGGACTACATGAATATGATGGAATCTGGACTAGGAAAGTGTAAAACACTAAAAGCTAGTGACATACCACTCAAATGAACTTAGATTAAGTGATGAGAATATCCAAACCATTAAACTGACACCATTATTGTAGCTGTTGGATTAAAATGTTATCCAAAAGTAAAAAATCAATTGTTCATATCATATTATTTCTCAGGATGGTGACTTGACACAGAGCTTCAAACAATATAAATTGAAGGATGTTGTATTCACTCTCACACTCGCACACCCAAGGAGCTCTATTTTAGCTGACTTAATCAAATTTATTTATTTATTTATCAACGGGCAATTGCCCAATTAAAATGCAATGTAAACATTATTGATAAATTACAGAAGATTCTTAACGTAACCTACCTAAATTAAATTTAAAAATTTTAATCATACAGAAAAATAAAAGTAGGAACAGTAAATAACAAACATTAACAAAGAATGTCCAAACCACAAGGACATCAAGCTATCACACACACACACACACACACTTCTTAGGCTGAGCTTTAAATTCTTTTGGAATACTATAACAATCCAACCTTTGGGAATAATAATTAGCAAACCTTGGTGTTCTAGATGTGATTTAATTGAGTCCGTAGTTTGTGCAATGGGGTCTAACATGAAAGGGTTGATTTAGCCTTGTTTGTCTACTGGGAACATGGAAATTAATTTTTTCCAATAGTTGAGGACCAAAAATATTAGAGTGCAGTATACTATAAAACATATAGTGATCTTTATGTATGTGTCGCATTTGGAGGGAAGTTATGTTGAGGAACCTTTCCATATTTGAATAGTTAATTTCTTCAATTGACTGGTTTTGTTTAGATGCAACAAATTTTAAGAATTTGCATTGAACTTATTCAATAGCTTGAATGTGGGTGTTACAGTGAGGAGACAAAACACATGAACAGTAATCTAGGTGGGGCCTAACATGTGAACAATACAAAAATTTTATGGATGGGATATTTAGAAAGTCTTTAGCACAACATTTGATAAACTCTAAAAGTTGAAGTGATTTTGAGATCAAAGATGAGATATGGAGGATGTAGGATAAGCTGAAATTGAGCACAACACCTAAGTCTTTTATCTGAGTTACAGAGTCTAAAGGGCAACCAATAATAGTATAGATATGATTTGTAGAAGTTTTCTTAAATGACACTTTTTAACATTAAGTTCCATTCTGTTGCTGATCCAAATCAGACTGTAGTTTATGATAGTCACCATCATTCTCAATTTTCAAATATAATTTTAAATCGTCAGCAAACATTAAGAAAGAAACAGAGAGGAAACCGGAGGCAATGTAATTAACATAGTTATTGAATAGAAGAAGTCCTGTGTTATCCTTGTGGTACTCCTGAAAGTACCTTTATCTCGAACAATTGGAAACCCTGAACACATACTATTTGTATTCTTTCAGTTAAGTTAATTATCCTGCCAGAAATATACTCTTAAATATAAATTATTAAACAGTGGTATATCCTATAAAAAAATATGGTTGACATTAACATTCAACCAATCATAATAGACACTGGTAATACCTATGAGTAGCTCAGATTCTCACAACAAAGAAATCTTAAATTTTTTATTATATCTGATGCTTAAATACTTAAATATTTAAAATAAATTGTTTTTTTACCCACCTCAAAAGTTTTCTATTTTTCAATTTATTATACACAGGTTTCTTTATTTGAACTTTGTTGTGTTAATTTTTGTATGTACATTTTTTTTCAATTTGCATCTAGTCTTATTATGTTTATTACAGTTTTAGTCATTTTGCATGAAGATTACAAGGCTCAAGGTTCTTTGATCTTGAATCCATCAATCTCCTCAACAGTAATAAAAACAAAGGCATTAATTAATCCCAAAAACCAAATTTAACACTGAATAATCAAAAGATGATAGAGCGCTGAGGTAGATTTCTATTCAGTTTTTTAGATCATAATCCATATATTTGCTTATATGCAATGAAAACACTTTTATTTCTAATTATTACAGTTTAAATATTTATTTACTGTATTCATAAATGTATACTTACAGAGTTTTAAAAATGCAATAAATTAAATAAAAGTGTTGATTCAATATCTGAATTCTGATATTCAATCAATAATAAAGGAGAAATATAAAAATGTCCATTTTAATATTAGAAATTTTCTAATTCTCATAACTAATGTGACATAAGTTTGAGGGTGACTGATGACAATGTGTAAGATCCAGAGGAGCTATTGTATATATTTGTTCATGTCTCATAAATATAATAAACAGGCCTCAACTTTTTTAAAACAGAGTTTAATTTGCAGTCTAAGGGATATTGTTATAAAAGATCAACCATATTACCTTCAAAATTTGTACAATAAGGTACTTGTTTAGTTATTAAATTATTTCATTAAAAAAACATCAAATTCATATCAGGGAACAATTGTGAATTCAATTTAATGCAGTAAATAATTGTAAAAAACCTATTGGTAAAAACTTTAAATTACTTACAGGTCTCACTTTCCTTAAAGCCACTGTCAATCCAAGGAGAGCTACTGAATAACAAGTAATCTGCAAAAATGTCTGTCAGATTATCAATATTATTAAATAATTGTTTACAATACCTGTGCCCCCCGGTTATCTTTCTCCATTGCATTTATTAAATCATCAAAAGACTTCGTAACTTTCTCCATTTTACAGAGGAATAATTTATTTCATTAGTAAAGGAAATATCAAATTTTCTTGCGTATGGACCTTAAATAAAATCTGTTTCGATTCAAAAATTTTAAGTATTTTGGCTTCAGTCTCTTATGTAGTTAGTGGTTAGGTCATGTATATTTATTTAAATGTCAACTTCGACAGCTTCTCAGCTCTGACAATGTTGCCATATAATATTTTGTTTCACAGTTTCACCAAAAATGTGGTGATGTTTCACGAATTTGGAAAGTAACCAAATACAAATAAAATTGTTTATATAATATATTTCTTTTATAATATATCTCTCATAATATATTTAAAAGTTTCACCGTATACTATTAATTATCACCTATATATTAATCATTTTTTTGTTCTATGGAGTTTAAAATCTTTACTTTTTATTTTTTAGACTACCTCTTTTATAAAACAGAATAAATAACAATTTACTGCGTTTTTATTATTAAAATGAATTTCAGTACTTAAAAAAATGTTATGCAGTTCTTCTATACGATGATTAAATCTCAGGTGATCCCAAATAGGAACCCTCGATTAACAATAAAAAAACATGCATTCATTATGCATATTCAACAATAAAAAAGGGTCTATGCTTGTGTTCATCGCTCTAATTATCCCTAATTTCTATTATCTGGCCACTTTTCTCTTACCTTATTATGCAGTATTGTCTTTCTTGTACTATGCGATCGCTCCGTTCATGGATCATGGATTTATCATCTCTTCATTAATGTTGACTCAGTATTACTTATTAATTATCTTGGTTTAAATTATTAGTTTATTTTTTATCCCGCATACTTGTTAATTACTTTGTATTTTTTATATCTTTTTTGATTTAAATATTTTCATATACATTTAACTTGTCTTCAAAATTGTTTGTTTGGTTTGATTTTTATTTGACTCTCTTTCAGCGTACTCTTTTTTGTGTGCCACAATATTGTGTTTTTCATTCATTTTGTTTATTCATTAGAATATTAAACATGTAGATTATTCTTCATACTTTTATTTCTTTTTTTTTATGAATTCAAGACCACTTAAAAATTTTAAAACTCGCCTAAACGTAATAAGTGACATTTGACTTTGAGCTGTTGACAACACTGAATTATTAGATAGTCGCCATTGTGAACATTAGATCGAAAAATAATCAAAATATTATTCATATTAAAAGGTATGTGCGTATTTAACTAATATATTATCATAGTTCATTGTTGAAGACTATTGTTAACATCTAATTTCAGTAAGTAATTCGTAGTTGTAAACGAATACATACTACTTCATCTGTTTTTGACGTTTCTGTTCTGATTATTTTAATTAATTTCTCTTTTATATTATTTACCAGATATTCAATCTACTTGATTCATTTTTAGATTGAAATGAACGCCGATCCCCGCAGACCTGAAAAAATACAAAGATATGTTCCAAAAGCTACTAATGGGACTGGCCAAGAAGACCTCACCCCTGATTACATGAATATCTTGGGTAAGGAAATGTCTGTGTCTATTTTTAGTTTCAGACTTAAACCTTTTACAGTATGAATATGTTTGGTTAGAATTTTAATGTTTATGTTATGCCCTAATTATTTAAACATATATTTGCTTATCTGTGATTATGAGCAGGTCAAATTATTTTATTTACATGTACAAGGCAATTAGTTGTTTCACATTGTTAATGCATTTCCATGATTTAAACCATACATAATCTTTGAGAAAGTTTATACAAAAAGTAGGTGTTTTTATACACTGTATAGATGTACTGTCAAAAAGCAGTTTTAATATACTTTAACATGGGTACATACATATTTAGCACGAATAACATAATAAAGGCTAAAACTAGGCAATATTTATTTATGGATGTTTTTAGAATTTTTTTTAAAAATAGTATAACACATAGCTACATTATAAATACTAAAAAATTTATTATTAGCACCAGTATCACCCAGTGGTATGTTATTAACATGTGAAAATACACAAAAGAAAAGTTAAAAGACTCGTGTAACGAAGTAATTAATTTTTTAAAATACCAAATAAACTTTTTGTTTACTCTTGTTTTAACTGGAAAAATATTGTAACCAAAATATGGATGGGATAATTATTAATTTTATGTTTTTATTTGTTGTAAGACACATGAGTTGTAGATTATAATAGTAAAAGGTTGTAAGTGTGATAAAATCTTTTATCAGACGAGGATGTATGCCATGTGCATTATCTGTATTATTACAGATGCAGCTTACAACAATTTTAGTTGTTTACAATTTGTTGCTTGTGCGTTTATAATAATTTTTTAAAACTGTTTTTACTTCTATTTTTAACTTTTATTAATTATTATTTTAACATTTAAAGTGGTTATAAACAATGATTTGGAAATGAAGATGAGAGAGATTTGTTGCATTGGCTACCAATTTTGAATACTTGAATACAGAAGCATATTGTGTGACAATATGCTTCTGTATTACTCAAGGGAATATTTAATTTATAACTTTGCACTCTACGAAAGTGAAACACATAATGGATTCTGATATTTTTGGGGAAAATCAGATGGCAAGAGGGTAGCAAATAAAATATGCTCCAATGTATATAATTATCTGAAATATTTAGAGATCCAAAGTCCTGAGGTGAAGATAATATTGTTCTTTTGTGATAGTTGCTCCGAGCAAAATAAAAATCGCCAAATGCTGGCAATGCTACACTATTTTGTCAACTGATCTAAAACCTTGGAGGAAGTAAATCATACCTATTTGCTTCTGGGATACACCTACATGCCAGCCGTTTTTATGCATTCCATAATAGAATCAAACTTACTGAAAGAAAATTGTGTGAGCCCCATGGAATAACCAACAATTATAATGAATAGCAGAACAAATACAAGGTCCTATGAAATGATGACTTGTATCACACCTTATAATCACCCTTAAAAAATGGCTTAGAAATTTTTTTGTACAATACCTATGATAACACTGAAATTCCTAGAATAGTAGTGTCTAGCAAGACAATTCAGCCTGGCCAGAACAGGCGTGTTATATAAGTATAACACACTTGTTCTATACCTACATTTCCCTATCATATTTTTGTCAGAATTGTGGTTATTATTTAGCCTTTTTTCATAATATAGAAATTATCCATGTAGGTGGACTGGATGAAATTAAATTTTTCTTTTCATTGGCTCTCTTACAACTTTTTATGAGGGCCTTTTCCTCCTTGGCTGTCTAGAGAATCAGTATATACAATTGTGTTTAATATGAGGCCATATGGTTCAGTAAGCATATGGTATTATATTTTAATCCCATACTTGCGTTTTTTGTTTTTTATACAGGGTGTTTAAAAAAAAAGTAACCCCATCTCTAGGGTAGGTAAAAAACTGAAAAATAATTGGGGTTTGCTTAGTAAAAAATTTTTGTAACGCCATCTGTTTTCAAGATACAGGGTGTTTTCAAGACACAGGTACAAGAAAAAAAATTTACGCATCTTTTACGATTTTGACGAAACTACTGGCAACATTGTAATGAAATTTTATACTAATAGGAATTTGTTTTTATATCTGATTCTCATAGAGGGCGTTAGTTACACGGATCATACTAAGTAGTAGTCAATATAACTTTTTTAAGAGTATAATTATTAATCAAAATTTCAAGTAAACTTGAACATCACTCAATTTTACATGAAAAAGGTACTCCTGGTAAAACTCAATAATGTGTACCGTTTTCGGAATATTTTGATTTGAAAATTATTAAGTAATAATTGATGCTGGTATAAAATAGTTAGTAATTAAACAAAACTCACAAGAAGAAAATTAAATTAATTACTAAGAACATAAAATAAAATTCAATTACAGTAAGTGTTCAAAATGCCCTCCGTTTTCTTGAATACACAATGTTCAGCTGAATTGTTTTCAATGCCTAATTGTCTTATCCTGTGTGGTTTTTTAATTTAACTAAGGTAATTAATATTGTTCTTATTATTTAGCTGTCGATTTTTTACATATTTTGATCATCCTTATGACATTAATAGGTTATGTGGGTTTTATATAACAATATTAGTTAAGTTCTGTGACTATATTATTTAAAATATTGCGTATTTAGCATTATTGTCAAAACTGTTAAAAAAGTAATAAATTAACAATCAAACGCCTGAATTTGTTGTATATTTTAATTTGCCCCATTATATAGTTGTTAGGGCTCATATAACATCCACGTTTATTCTCTTAAACTAGTTAAACACAAATTTTTGAAACAGTTAGTCTACAAATTAAATATCTTTATTAAGTATACTGACTCTGAGGTTTTAACTTAGTAAAATGTCACCAATTACTCTATTTATAAGAGTTGCTGCACCAGTATATTTTTATGTTTTTAAAAGCTCTATAACAACATAATTTCACCGAACTGTATCATGTAGGCTGTAGGGTCTATTATGAATAACACAAGGAAATATGAAATTGTCAAATATATATACCAAATTACCCAATACCCAATACATACACCCAAATTTTTTAATTAATCATTTATTACGCTGTAAATAATGGTATTTTTTAAAATTAGCTAAATACAGACATAAAATTTTTAAAATCAATATATTGTGTTTTGTTATTTTTTTTTGTCATGAACAGGTAAAAACTATTTAGACATGCCAATAATTAAAGTAAATAATGTTGATTTGTATCTGTCAGTTGTTGTGTTGATATTTTAGATTGAAATAGTAATTCCTAATTCAAATTTAATTTCTTCCAGAAGTAATAATGAAATATTTCACTGAGACTCACCGAATTGAGATTTTAATGATCATTTGTTATGGGGATAATTCCAGAAGTCAAGTTGAAGTGGCAAACTTATTTAATCAGAGGTATCCTCAGTTGCCTATTATTTCACAAGGTACTGTGTCTATAATTCATACATTTGGATGTGTCAAACCATTAAAAAGAATCCCACACTTCGTTGAAGATGATGTGAAAGTGGACATTTTGTTAACTGCCATAGAGAATTATAACGTCAAAATGCTCTCCAAAATAATGTGAGTCATACAACTGTCCTGAGGTGCCTCCACGAAGAAAAACTTCATCCATATAAATTGACTTTAGTACAGGAGCTAACACAAGACGAGCCAGATCGTAGAATGTATTTCTAGGAAAGAATGATGAATAAACTGAACCAGAATGAAGTAGCTGTTGTACAATTCTTTTTTCTGATGAATCAACCTTCACATTCAACAGGGAGGTTAACCAAAAAAATTAGATATTCAGCTCAGCTGACTTCATATTCAGAACTCAGCTCTGCAGAGAAGCCTCATTGGTGCTTGAGAAACACTCAGTATTCTCAAAAGGTAAACGTTAGGGCAGGTATCATAGGTCCTATATTTGAAGATGGAAATTTGACAGCGGAAAAATATTTAAGCCTGACTAGACATGGAGTTACCTCGTTTTAGCAGACCAAATGGAAATGTCATGTTCCAGCTGGACAGGGTAACACCCCATTATACTTTAATGGTAAGAACTTACTTAAACTAAATCTTCTCCAATAAGTGGATTGGACGAGTAGGTGATATTGAGTGGCCAGCTAGATCGCCAGACCTTGGATTTTTTCTGTGAAGTTATCTTAAGAATAAAGTATATACAACACAACCAACTAGCCTTAAAATTTCACTTTAAACTTTCACGAGTTTTATGGAAGACTGTGTTATTGCCAACAAAAAGATGGAAAACATTTTGAACATTTATTTTAATATCTCGAAGAAAATTATAAATAATTTTAAAATATCACCTTGTATTATTCATATAGACCCTATAATTCCTTGAGTTCAGGCTAAGAAGCTTTTAAAAACAAAAATATACAGGGTGTTTCATTAAAAATAAAGACTGGACTATGCTGGACCCGCGAAACCCACATTTGAATTTAAAAGTTGACGGGTTCCGCCGTTTTTTATAATTTAAAAAAAAAAAGAACCTAAATATTTTATTCCATGACTGTATATAAAAGTAGTTCTAATGCACACGAGGTTTATAAGTTATCATATAATTATTGAGAAAATAAAAACAAGCTCCCTAGTGTCTTTATGAGTATGAAAGAGACTAATTAGACAAATTACCAAGTTCCAATATAATGTCAAAAGTGGACTACTGTGCAAATAGTGTTAAGGAATAAATGTATTAATAAAAACAGCTACATATAGAGAACCATTCGCTATGTTTTTAATATCATTTTTAATAAAATAGTCTCGTTTGGTAATATGTTGATTTAACATGAGAAGTTTAGACATTTGAGATATTTATAAACTAGTTTACTTTATGATAATGACCTTAATCCATAACGATTCACGTGAAACTGGCTTCTTTTAGCAAATAGCTTTACATTTATGGTTTCTTTTAATTGCATTCAGTTCAATGCTCAAATAATACATTAAACGTAAAAGGAAATAACACATTTGCATGTTTGTATAAAATACTATTACTTGTTTACAATATTTAAAATTACACTTGAATCGCTATATTGA